TAACAAATGATTATTTACTTCTGCTTTCTGCTCACACATAAAGCATCTTGAGCAAAACTGCATCCCCCTTTTTTGTAATGCCTCATGTGTAAGGCAAGCTTTTCTTATGACCAACCAGACAAAACATGCTACTTTTAATGGGCTTCTTGTCTTCCACACTAGCTTCCAAGGCCATTTTTTAGTCACTGACTGATTGACATTTATCCTCCAGTAGCATGATTTGACTGTGAACATTCCTTTGCTATGTAACTTCCAAATTGGTTTATCCTTTCTTTGAGATATGGCTGGAGGGGTGTTTAGCACCTCTAGTAGCCTGACCACATTCTCAATTTCCCAGTCATTCAAAGCCCTCCTGAACACTAAGTTCCACCTTGTTGGCTCCATACTTGAGCAACAGTAGCAGATCTTTGTAAGCTCAAGGTGTAGAGGTTTGGGAATAAGTTCCTCAGGCTATCATCCCCTTTCCAGATTTCATTCCAGAAATCTGTTTTCAGACCATTGCCCACACTAATATAAATATTGTTATTGAACTGTGGCCACAACCTTCTGATGGTCTTCCACACACAGCATCCAAACGACCCCATCACCTCCTCAGTGGTCCATTGGCTAAACAAGCCATATTTCCCTGCTATGAATCTTCTCCATAGGGCTCCATCTTCAGTACAAAATCTCCATAGCCATTTTTGTAGCAAGCAATTATTCTGGATGCTAAGATTTCTCATGCCAAGGCCACCTTGTTTTCTGCTCAAAGTGAGTGTCTCCCATTTCACCAGGTTGTAGCCTTTCTTTTCTTTGTACCCTTGCCAAATGAAGGATCTTCTCATTCTGTTGATTTTCTTCACAATGCTCTTGGGTATTGGAAATAGATTCATCATGTAGGTAGGTAACCCATCTAAAACTGACTTGATGAGAGTCAACCTACCCCCAGTGATAGGTACTGACTTTTCCATCTTGAGAGTCTTTTCTCACATCTCTCCATCACCTCATTCCATACCTCCAACTCCTTATTTTTGGCCCCCAAAGGCAACCCCAGGTACTTCGTGGGCAGAGAAGCTATCTGACATCCCAAATTCTCAGCTAGATTTTGTATATTGTCTACCTGATTAATTGGGAAGAGGAAACTTTTCGACCAGTTAACATGAAGCCCTGAAATGCCCTCAAATATTGTAAGGGTTGCTCTCAAGTGTCTGATTTGTGCCACTTCTGCTTCACAAAAAACAGGGGCATCATCTGCATAGAAAAGATGTGTAATTTCCAGATCATCACCTCTCCCTATTTGAGCATTGAACCCTTTTATCCAGCCATTTACCTTTGTTGTTCTGAACATGTGGTTCAGACCTTCCATAGTTAGTAGGAACAAAAAAGGTGACATAGGGTCTCCCTGTCTAAGACCTCTATGCGATTGAAAAAATCCTTCAGGCTTACCATTTATAATGAGTGAGAATCTTACATTTGAGATGCAATACTGTATCTAGCCAATCCATTTCTCTCCAAAACCCATGTCTTTCAGAATTTTTAGCAAGAAATTCCAATTAACATGATCATAAGCCTTTTCAATATCTAGCTTGCATAGGATGCCTGGTTTCTTCTGTTTTACCCTAGAGTCAACCATTTCATTAGCCAGCAGAGCAGCATCCATGATTTGCCTTCCTTTCAAGAATGCCATTTGATGTCCATCAACCAGCTTCCCTATAACTATTTTCAATCTTTCGGTGATTAGCTTAGAAATGATCTTGTACACCACTCCAATTAAGCTGATCGGTCTGAAATCCTTTAATTCCATTGCCTCAGGTTTCTTTGGGATCAAAGCTATGAAAGTAGCATTAAAGGATTTCTCAAAATAGCTCCTCATGTGGAAATTGTGGATAGTATGCATGAGATCTTCCTTGAGAATATCCCAACACTCCTTGAAGAAAGATATGGTGAAACCATCAGGACCTGGAGCTTTGTCACCATCACACTGCTTAATGGTCTGTAGTACTTCTTCTTCTGTGAAAGGCCTTTGCAACCACTCATTTTCTTTAGCTGAGACTGTTGGGCATCCTCTAAATTCAAAGGAAGGTCTCCATGGTTCAAGTTCTGTGTAGAGCTTGGAGTAAAATTCAATCATGGCTTCCTTAATTTCTTTAGGATCCTGGGTTTCCTCACCTCTCATCAATAGTTTGTCAATTGTGTTATATCTCCTGCGGGCTGTAGCTACTCTTTGAAAAAAATTAGTATTATTGTCTCCTTGTTTCAACCACAAAGCTCTGGATTTCTGCCTCCAGCTGGCTTCTTCTTGCTTTGCTGATACTTCCAGCTCCACAAGTATTGTTGCTCTTATCAACACTTCATCTTCAAACAGTTCTCTTTCTTCTTGGATTTTGTCCAACTCAGACAATTCTTTTAGTAGGCTATTTTTCCTTCTGGTTCTTTCATTGAAGGTTTGTTTGCTCCATTCTTTCAACTTATGTTTCAGCATCTTTAGCTTGTTGCTAAGTCTGTAGTCAGGGCACCCTTCTACCACAAAGCCACTCCACCACCCCTGCACCATCTCCTTGAAACCATCCACTTTGAGCCACCAGTTTTCAAATTTAAAATAGGATTGCCTATGTTCCCTGTTCCCACATTCTAATAGTACTGGGCTGTGATCAGAGACTGTTCTGGGCAGGATGCTCTGTTTGATATTTTTGAAACACTCCTCCCACTCCATGGAGTATAGGAATCTGTCAAGTCTTGCAGCACTTTGGTGATAGGATCCTCTGAACCAAGTGTATTTCCCCCCAAATAGTTCTGGATCATGTAATTCCAAGTCTTCAATCCACTTGGAGAAATCAGTCATGATATTGGTGACTCTAGTGCACCCTCTTCTTTCTTCCATGTGTCTGACTGTGTTAAAGTCCCCGCTGGTGACCCAGGGGCCTTCACTCAGTTCCTTCATTGCTGCCATTTCCACCCAACACTCTAACTTCTTACTTCTGCTATGTGGACCGTGTACTCCAGTAAAGAACCATGAGAAAGAGTTTTGTATTGATTCAAACTTGTAAGTAATTGAGTAGTTCCCCTCCTCCACCTTTGTGCCTGCCCATGTTCTACTATGCCACATGATTAGGATTCCCCCCTTGCTTCCATCTGCTTCTATGTAGCCGCATCTCATCCATCTACATGCCCATAACTATTTAGCAATCTCCTCTATTCCTTTATTTATCTTTGTCTCTTGAAGACAAACCACATCCACTTTCCATTTCTGCAAACATGTCTTAACAATATTCTTGCTGGAGATGTTGTTAAGACCCCTTACGTTCCATGAGAGAAGTTTTATATTCATTTAAATGTTAAACTGAGCACCCTTCCCCTGTTTCTGATCCCATCCACCTCTTTGTCTAGGCTAGATTGAAGGTTCTTAAGTTCATTTTTCCCTATCCCCCTGCTCTTTGGAGTTGTGGTTATTTCTTAAGAAGATAATGTAGTTCTGATTGAAAAACAGAAGAAAGAGTATCAGAAATGTTCGAAATTTGTTCAACGCAGATACATGTAACTTGCCCTTTCTTTAAGGTCTGAAACTTATTTGAAATTGATAACTTTGATATATATATTTCTACTACTCCCTAAAAGTCCAGTTATAATAGGCTTGCATTTTGACGTACTTTTCTTTATGGGTCTGATGTGCAATTTCTTGTTGGTAATTACTAGTATCCAATGATAGAGCTTTTATCACAACTTTTAAATATATTGTCCCAGATGTAACTGCACAGTGACAATAGCTCTTCACAGACCCTCTTTTCTATAATAGTGATTATCATAGCTTATTACAGCTGCTGTAAGCATTATTATAATGCTACTGTAAGCATTATTATAAAAAGGAAAGAAACTGTAGTGGACAAGAAAATGATCATTCTTTCCCGCCTCACCTTTCTCCAAGAAAAAAAGGAAAGAATTTTGAAAAGAAAGAAAAAACTAAACACTTTAGTTTTCATGATGTACACACTTATGTAAAAATTCATTGCATCATCATTATCCTATTTATTGTTGTTATGGTCTGGAGAATGAAGAAATGCTTTGTTGCCTTTGGTTTCTCACTTTATTTATTGTTTTGTTAGTATTAAAAAGTGATTTTGTTTTCCAAAAAATAGGTGACAGTTCCTGGAGGAAAAAGCAGGGATAGGAAGAATGATTTACTTGTCATCCGTGATAACGGGAACTCATTCAAAATTATACCATCAGTGAGCATCCTTACTCAAATTCTTTCTTATCTCTGTATTATTGTCGCTGTCTATCCATCTCTGATGAGCGGGCATCATATTGATGTAGGAGGAAAGAGATGATTTTACCACTGTGATAGAGAAAGAAGAGTGGAAGAAGACAAGGCAAGACATGGAAAGACATCTTAGTAAGCTAAGGGACTTCAGTGTTTCAAATTGGTTTTAGTTGGCCAATTAATACCATTGTCGAATATTTCTGTGGTAGTTACCTCAGAATTGCTGGAAGAGGTGGACAGATTGAATACCCTAATAGCTGAAGGAAACAATCAGGTTAATCCGAAATTGTTCATGGTGCTGAATGCTGATAGAGCTTACTGCTTCCAAATTTCAGAATCTTAATCTTACATCATCAGTGCCGTCATGACTTGTGAAAATGATCACTGGATGAAGGTTTAGGATGAGCTTAGGTAGAAGGTAATGTAGCAGTAAAATTCATAGTATTTCTAGTACAAGAAAATGTGCAAACTTGAACCAGTATTATGGTAAAGCAATCGAAACAATTTTTCTCTCCTAATTATGAAAGCTGGAGGCATTTGGATTACAGTGCAGTGTAATTTGCTTCAAATTTTGTTAACTGTTTTACAGTCAATATTTGCTTCTCTGTAACTATACCAAACATCTGTTTTGGTTCTTCAGTATCATAAGTCATATCATTTCTACTTTTTCGAAGTAAACCAGTTTTCGAGTATGTCATGATCAGTATAGAATTGTTTTATGATTAGATCGCATCAAGAAAAAAGTCAAATTATAAGAAATAGGTAAAGCATCAATTGGAGAAATCTATCACAACAATCAAGTAAAACATGTATGGTAATGCCAACTAGTAATTGAGAATTGTGAAGTGAGGTTGAAGTACACTTTTTTTTCTCTCATATAACCAATATCACTAAACTACCAAATTGTTGATTCCAACAGACAACTCTCAAAAAAAGACTTGTATATTCTGAATACATGTGATAAATAAAGATAAAATATGGTGTTGCTCACATGCTTGAGACTGACTTGGGAATTTAGTTTTTCTTTGTAGTAGATGATACTTTGCCAATATGTTTTTAGGAGAACGCATGCAATTTGACAAACTACAAAACTCTCCGAGAAGAGAGTTTTTGGTCAAAAACATTTTTAACCTATACCCCAAGCTTAAACTATAACTTTAAAATATATGTTTTTGCCAAAGAACATCCTCTAAATATTCGAAAGTTAAGAATTTTCATCCTTCTGTTAGTTATTGTAAAAAAACTGAGGGATACTACAAAAACACGTACAGTTCACATGCCTATCAACAAAAAATTTCCTGCATAATTTCATTACATGTTATAAAAAGTTTTAGAAAAAAAGAATATTAGAAATTTTGGACATCATTGCTGGTTAAAACAAAAAAATGTTAGGATCTTTTAATTATCTTTCCCTTTTTCAAAGTCAAATTGTAGTTAGATCAATAATTTTTTGAGGCAATCTGATATTGAATTGATCAAAATTCTGATTATGTCTCACATAGTCGCATTCGAGTTTCATTCTCCATTATTGGAAGTCTCCAACAAACACCGCTTCTAGTAGATTTAATTGAGAAGAAACATATTTCAATTGATAATTTTTTACTATTAAGTCACATGAAATATAAATTAAAAAACTATCAAATTAAAAGATTTCGCATAACACTAAACTCAGTTGCCGAAAAAGTTCACGATAATATTTTTGGCGTATCTCAAAATAATAAATACGAAGGATGACTTGATTTTTATGGAATGTGTTAGTTTTCTGGTGTATCTTAAATACTTGTAAGATGTTTTCTAATATTTTTTTTATATATATATATATATATATTAAGGATATAATTTAAGTTTAAATATAGACGCATCGAGGAACATGAATAGCTTTCCTCCAATTGATGCTTTTTCCTTGAAACTAATAACACAAAATTTACATTAATACATAAACAGTTAAACTATGTATTAATTTCTTTCAAAAATACAATTAACTGGAAAGTCAAATTTACGACAACTAAAATGGCATTATCAATTTTTTTAAAAATCCATCATTTCATAACCATACTTTTATCTATAAACAAATAAAACGCTTAAAACTAGAAATATTTACAAATTATCAATTCCTAATGCAAGATATTTTTATTTTTAATGTTATTTTAAATTTTAAACTATGGCCATAACGAGGTGGAATATTTTTAGTTAACCAACGTGGTAATAATGTATCATTTTGAATGACAAAAATTTAACTTTTCAACGAGTTATAATTTTTATAAAATATATTCCGGAGATGTTCCTCCATCCTAAAATTGACCTGGTACAATGTCCATTTGCGGTGTGGGTCGAAAGACAACATAATTCAGTTCATGAGATCACAACAATATTAGTTATTTAGCAAAATAATAGTACTGAAAATTAGATAAATATTACGGCTGTAATATTTTAAGTATTCAGAAATAATACTTGAGACATAGTCTTAAGAAACTATTTTAGGAGTGTAAAATGTTTCTCCAGAGTTAAATTGAAAAGTAATAAGTTGGGCTTCGCTTCCTCAAATTATTGCTTCCGGCTTGTTTCAACTTATTTTGGCTTAAACGGCAAATGATTTTAAGCACTTTTTAACTTTGGCTTCAATTATTGCGTTTGCCTTGTTTCAACTTTGCCAGACACTGAGATAAGTCAACAATAACTTTAAATAAGCTGGTTAAACCAAATTCAAACACTCTCCAAGTCAAGAAGTGAATGTCAAACTACATTCCTAATATTTCAAGAGACATTTGTCATCTTCAGAGACATGTAAAAAACATTGTAAGGGTGACAAAAGACCGAATGAAATAGCTAACAAATCTGCATTATAATTTCAATTGGATTACCATAAGATACAATTTCAAAAAGGTTCTTTCAAAGAAAATGAATACTGCATAATAAGATAGCACTAGATACCCCTATTTCGCAACCAAACCGTGTCAACCAAAACAATTGAGATAAAAGTAATGACAGATTTTTCAAAACAAGGAGAATGTGAACAGAATACTAGTCATTGGAGTTGCATTGCCAGCTCATGATTCCAAAAGCAAATACAACACCAGAATTAATGTCAAGAACAACAAACAAGCCCAAGAAACAATTAAGGAACTTTGGTTGCGGGAGTATGATATGGAACTCAGTCTAGTATGCACCTTTCATCCAGAAACACATCTGGCGGTCACAGATCATTCAAACTTTGCTCTTTTTCTAGTTTTACCTCCTTTTGTTTGCATTATAGCACCAGCAGAGGCATAACACCTTAGCTTTTCAAGGATCCTTCTCTCACTGATGCGCAACACCAATGAATAATATATCTTAGGTTCTTTCACCAGACAGCAATAGTTCAAAGTTTTGATATCATCTTCTAGATGGTTTGAACCATATAAACTTTCCCGAATATCTGCTAGTCCCGACAGAGCCACACAAACACCATCTGTCAGCAACATATTGTTGCTCGACTCAACACCTTCTCGAAATAAAACAATATCTTTCTTCGACAAATTGAAGCCCTCAGAATTTTCAAAACCACTGGTGATAGTTACTGCAAGATCGAGTTCAGCAAACACTTCCTCTGGCAATAATATTATGTAAAGCAAAATCAACAGCTCAACTTGCGGCTCCCCATCAAATGAAATTTCAAAATATTCTGAATTTTGGCTAACACATCCAGAATAATCTAATTTTCTCCATAGTGATAACCTCCTCCTACTGTAGCGATGTGAAAACCGAGATGAACTCCACTGAAGTACAAGCTCCAGATCAAGGTTCACAATGTCATATTGGTTATCAGGCTCTGCAAATCCATACCTATGTAACAGAGCAGCATTACCTAAAGACCCATACGTATTGAATACCTACAAAGATTACACAGTAAGAGAGTATAATACACTCAACTTTCTTACAATTTCATATAAAAGTGAATGTACAACCACAAGATCATCATTAAATAAGTTGTTTACAAACCAGTACGAAATATCAATTGGACAATAAGGGGTTAATTAGTTCACACACTAGTTATATGATTATAACATAGAGATTATTAACATGGTGAATAACAATGAAGGAATTCTTATGCAGTAAAAAATAGCGTAGGGATTGTTATGCGGTGCATAACACTACAAGGAATTTTATGTATACCCTACTAGGCTACTACAAGGGCATATTTTGACTTTAACTTACCGCATTGCTAATATATGAATTTGTATCAACATTCTATCCCACATAAAAGAAATCAGAGATTCTCACGCCTGTTTACGTGCATTATTTAATACATCCAACCAAAAGTTGCATTTGTTATTTTGAGATTAATTCCTTTAGCAAAACGTTAAACTAGTTATGTGGCAATTAATGTATTCTTATCCGGCCAACCAAACATCCTATTAGTTTATGCGACAGCTTATCTTGGGATAATTCACCCTAGTCCCTCGAGTCAAACAACCACTAAGGGGTCATTTGGTAGCTAGATAAGAAATAATTTATCCATGAATTAATTTTCGTATAACTTATATGACGTTTGGTAGGTAGATAGAGAAAATAGAAAAGGGCTAAATGTACCCCTGTACTATTAGAAATAGTTTAAATATACCCCTCGTTATACTCTTGGTCCAAATAATCCCTTCCATTATACTTACAATCCAAACATAAATTGGGACAGAAGGAGTATTATTTTAGAAAGCCACTTGCTTAACCCTCTCCAACCATTGCCTCCACTTAGAATCATTTTCTTTGCTTTTCTTTTCATTGTGCCCATATACGATTTCCCAACAAGTTCAGTAGCAATATTTCACCATTTAAGATTGGATGATGAATTAGGTCCAGCTAGTACTATTACTGATGATAATCCATCAAGATTCAAAAAAATCATATGTTGGCAGTTGACAGTTGACACCATGAAAAGAAGAGAACTCAAACCGGACGTAATGGGTCAAAAAAGAGTTAAACGAATGGATTTTTAAAAGAACCAAGTAATTTAAAATTAATTTGTAGTTACGGCAAATTTGTGTCAAAATATAATGAGAGGGTGTATTTGAACCAAAAGTATGACGAGAGGGGTATATTTAGCCCTAAAGTATAACAAAGGGTATATCAAAACTATTTCTAATAGTACAAGGATATAGACCCTTTTCCATAGAAAATAAATTATTTTGTATAAAGTAAACACGACGTTTGATTGATAATTTAGAAACGAGCATAACTAATACAGTATTAGTTATGAGGAAATCTATGTAATATTTTATGCAGGATAGAAGGTGAAATAACTAATACATGTATAACTAATACATGAAAAACTAATGTCTACATAACTAATACCTTCATAAAATAATACATAGATTTCTTCATAGCTAATCCCTACATTACTAATACTTGGACAATTCTAACCTACTTCCAAACAACTCATAGAATATCACTCAGATTGTCTTGATTAGTTAAAAGAAGATATCATAAAGCAGATGTTTCCGTTGCATCTATTTTTCAGCTATTCCCTTGCCCAAGAGGAGGAAAGATATCAGTTATTATTTCTCCCCCTTCTTTACTTCTTTAAACGGTTG